CTGGCGGGTTAATAGGAGAATAAAACACGGGCTTGATTTTAGAGACATGAAAGGCGGGACAAATTCTCCTGTACGCCGGAGGAAGTTTGAGTCGGACTGCCACCGGACTAATGATCTTGGTGACAGGGAACGGGCCAATAAATTTAGGAGCTAACTTATTAGAAACGGCACGGAGCGGAATGTTCTTGGTAGAAAGCCACACTTTTTGACCCACGACGTATACGGGAGGCTTTGACCGGTGGCGATCGGCCTTGGCCTTCATGCGCCCCCCCACCTGGAGCAGAGTCTCCCGGGCTCTGGTCCAAGTGCGGCGGCACCTCTGGACGAAGGCGTGGGCGGAGGGGACCGCGACTTCGGATTCCAGACTGGGAAATATTGGTGGCTGGTAACCTAAACTACACTTAAACGGAGAGAGGCCCGTTGATGACACTGGCAACGAGTTATGTGCGTTGACAGATATGCGGTGCGTGAGAGAAGTGATTGGAATCTGGAGCTTGGATGCAAAACTGAAATCCATAAAATTACCCTCTGCTCCCGAATCCAATAGTGCTTGAGTGGCGTGCGTTGAGGTTGCCCATCTCAGTCTTACCGGGAGGAGGGTTGATGATGGTGATGAGGACTTCTCGGCGGAGATCCCACCCGATAGTAGCCTCATACTTACTACCGGGCTTGCTCTTTTACTGGACACGAGTAGAGGAAATGGCCAGCCTTGCCACAGTACAGGCAGAGTCCTTGGGACCTCCGCCTTTCCCTCTCCTCCCGGGAAAGCCGAGCTCTCCCTACCTGCATGGGCTCATGGTCGTAAACTGGGCTGACCGCGCCCCGCTCGCTGGTTCGTGGAACCTCCATGGTTGGACTCGAACGTACCCGATTCGCCGAGCGATTCAAACGTGAATCGACCCTCAGCGCCAGCTCCACTAGACCATTAAGAGATCTAGGCAGGTCCAGGATATAAATCTCTTTCTGGACGCGGTCAGCCAGCCCATGCAGGAACATGTCCCACTGCGCCTCCTCGTTCCAATGGCACTCTGCAGCCAGGGTGCGGAATTGAATGGAGTAATCCGACACCGAGCCATCACCTTGGCGTAGATCGGCGAGTAATCTGGCTGCCTCCTTACCCGCCACCGCCCGATCGAACACTCTTCTTATCTCCTCGGAGAGTGCCTGGAACGAGGCGCAGCAGATGTCCTGGTTCTCCCACACCGCCGTTCCCCAGAGAGCCGCCTTCCCCGATAGTAGAGTTAAAACGAACGCCACTTTGGACTGTTCGTTGGCAAAGGTCCGTGGCTGCAACGCAAAGTGAATAGAACATCTTGTGAGAAAAGCACGGCAGTACTCAGGCTCACCTGAATAGCTCTCAGGCGTGGGCAGACGAGGCTCAGGCAGATTCTCTTGTGGCGGCGGGAGGGGCTGAATCGGCGGTGTGGGCGGCGCAGCGGAAACATGTAGATGTTGTAGACGTTGGGTGAGCTCGGACACCTGTGTCACGAGTGCTTGAACCGCGCGACCTGTGTTTGCGATCTCCTCTCCCTGTTGATCCATCCTTGTGGTGCTGTGCGCGAGGAAATCACTCAGACTGGCCGCACTTGCTGCATCCATGGCTGGTCAGATCGTTCTGTGATGAAACAGTTCGGATACAATTGCAAGTAAAAAGACGTTTATTAAAGATGGTCAGGTCTAACACAGAACACAGGTCCGGGAACAAACACTCAGGTGGAGAAGTGACACAGGGACGTTGATGGGCAATCCGGTGAGTGGTGGTGAAGATCAGCGTGCTCAGGAACCAGGAACAATAAACAATCCAAAAGGCGAAGACAACGAAGAAGATCCACACGATGAGAAGGAGAGAGCCACACGGAACAGGACACGACACCGGGGAAGCCACAACGATCTGACAACATGAGAAGGATCTTACTGACATATAAAGGGAACGGTGATGAACAGCAGCTGGCACAGACAATCAATGGGATTGGAAAACCACGCCCACACAGACACGCATACACACACAAAACAGCAGAATGAGACAGTGGATTCATGAACCGTGACACATAGTCACACTTTGGATCTGCTTCCTAGCTTCTCTCAAGAAGAGCCCATGGTGTGTCACATGGTCAATTAGTGTGACTCCCATTTCATTTGAAAGTCTATATACCTTCTATGTCTCTTCACTCCTGTTCCATCCGTCTCCTTCCTTTCTGTTCATGTCTTCTAACTATTTTTTCTCTTATTCTTTCCACTACACCAATGCCCTCTACTTTACCCACCTCTTCTCCTCCTTTTCCCATTCTACCTATGCCCTCTTCTTTTCTTAAACTCTCTCCTCCTCTCCCTTCATCTTTTTTTACCTGTTCCAATATATTCATCTCCCTCTCATTACACCATTCCTCAACTCTCTCCACCACTACATCTCTTTCGTTTCTCCTTCTCATGACTATTCTTGTTCTTTTTTCTATTTGTATATAATAATGTTTGATAAAAAAAGATTTATATAAATGCAGTTGTGATAGCTGTGTAAACCGTTATAAAAACAACATTCCCTGTTATGTGTGTATTATTAACCCAGCAGATACAGTTTAGGGCCGCATGAAATCATTCCATGTGCAATTCAGAATGTAACAAAATACATATTCTATGTATTTTAAGAATACAATATGAGTTTTGTTTGTTGTGTTTGGGAAAATGGTACATAAATGTTTGTGATTTTTGTAAAATCGATAAAAAGAGCTGCAAATGTTTTTCCTAGCCTACACATTTTGGTTGGTTGAACTGTTGTGAACACATTGGATAATATTGTACACAATCTTTTAAGAAATGCATATAATGTAACCTGGCAAAACTTTCATAAGCCTTTATTAAAGATGAAATACACCACAAATTCGAAAACAGCATTTTTTGTCACAAACAGTGTGATTAGTTTTACTGTCATTTGTATATCTCATACAGTGCCTGATTTGTAATTTCTATGAAATGAATGAAAACTTACAAGCTGTTTTGGACAATTACAAAGTTTTCAGATAACTGTGTTAATTGTTTTGAGAGCAGTGATCTGAGTTTGGACAAATGTTTAAAATCGATTGAGAAAAATCTAAAGATTACCAGGGGAAACCATTTTAAACTTACACTTACTCTTATCTAAGTTAAGGTATAGGGGAGAGCGGGGCACAACGTAACGCTTTTTGACTTTCTTACTTTGTGTAAATCTACTTAGGGTTTAGAGGTTTAGAGTATTTGTTTCCCCCCATATTAATTTCCCACATGTCTAGTATAATTATGTGGTTTTGTTTTATTAATACAGTGTATACTTTTTTCTTGATATACCCCAAAAGAATGGAAGTGAAATGTGACAACATGCCCCATAGGTGGGGCACATTGTACATGACCATGTGACAGCTTAAAATGTTATCTGATCTAATAAAAAAAATATACAAGTCAAAACCAAAATATTTTCTCAATAAAATACATTAACTTTTTCATATAAAATAATGGCATTTTTTAATAATTAAAAATAAACTAATTTTTTGAGTTTGACAACAAACACACTGCTACAGCATAGTTCAAAACATAATAACAATGAATAATTTCTGAACATTGACTATCAGTCTTTATTAAAAAATGTCTCATGTTGTGTCAATAGATTTCATAAAATAATAGAATAGAATAGAATAGAATAGTTCTAATAGGGGCACATTGTAAAGCAGTGTTACAACATGCCCCACCTGTGCAACTGCACCCTTGTCTTCTGACTGAGAACTATATAAACTGTTAAATAATAACATATTAGAGATTCAAATAATATCAGATTTGTCTAATTTTAAATAAACACAAAAAATATAGATGAAAAATTAACACAAGAAATTTACTTTTGCTATGGTCAAATAAATGTTCAGTGATATATTACAGAGATTTCTGAATTTTGGCGCATTTATTTCTCTATATAGTGTTGATATGGCAACTAGTAAATACACAAAGTTAGTTTCGTCATGTTGGCATGTGTGGAAGTATTTAAAACAAGTGTGTTACAACTGGCCCCGCGTTACGTTGTTGCCCCGCTCTCCCAAGCCTATGCTCCAAAGTGCCAGCAGATGGCATAGTTTACTTCACAGAGAATGAATCTTTAGTGTCAACTACAGGCTATATTGTTACTGGCAATATTGATGATATTTAAATGTTTCCCTCTTCTGGAGCTTTCAAATCTCATTCTCAATGCTGCAAGAGGTGTTTCGGCAAGAAGGTTCGGTGTATTGGTGTAGAGAGGGTCTGTCTACTACTCAGGATGCAGATTATTTTTTTCTTTTTTTAATTAACTTTCATTAGAAAATCACTAACTTAAATTCGACTAAAATCACACTCCTACTCTCAATGGCGTTGCATGAGCTTCGAATTCTAATTATTTATGTATTTATTTATAAAGATGTTACTTATACTACATTAGGCTACTTATATTATTAATATTAATATTTTTAGGGCTGCCCTATTACCATGCGATTTTTTTTTTATTCTAATTTCTCCAGAATATTGTACATTTCATGCACTATAAAAAAAAACTAAGGAATTGTTCACTTTAAAACATCGCTTTCATCAGAAATTACCTGACAAGTTGTTGTAATAAACCAATGCAGTGTATAGCCCTACTTATTTGAGAAATCTCAAAGTTTAGAATATTAAACAGTATTCCAATGCAACTGTTACGTTCTTTTTTTTTACTCTTTTGTTTTGTCTAATGAGTTTTGGGTGGGAAATTTGTATTGCTGGAAGCAATCGGCAATGCATGACAGCACTGAACAAGTGGCAAATATAGCACGATCTGGGGAAAGAGTGGGAGAGGGAGGGAGAGAGAGAACGCAGGCAGCACACACACACACACACACACACACACACACACGGTAGCGCGCGAGACAGAGACATCAGTACAAAAGGCGCATGCACTAGAAACAAACACATTTAATTTGGACACCTGTATTACTGTCTTAGTTTATGATAACCCGCGCGAGGGAATATCTTAGGATCTCTGCTTATACCGTTCAAATAGAGGCGTCACTGTTCACTCGTGATACTCTCTCTTCCTCGGCAGGCATATGTATTTCGTATCGCCGTTTCTTCCAGTAAGCGCCAATGCATGCATGCACCCGCCTCCCTGCGCTCTCAAATAGATGGTGCAAGTAAAGATGTCCAAATCTTCCGCAGACCCTCTGTCTGGTGTAGAAAGCGCTTCTCAGTCGCACTATTTCCAGGTAAGACTTTTGGGGGGGATTTGTATATGTTCTCGTAAATGGTTAATTTTTGGCTACTTGTTGTTGAGCTGTCGTGCATTGAAGCCTTCATATATCCGCAGAGCGCTACAGCTACGCAATCTGCCCGTGTAATATAGCCTTTATCGCGCTTTTAACCAGACACGCGCAGTTGTTTTTAATGAGCGGAGGCGAGATGTTGATAAGATGTTTGATGCTCCTCCACCATCCGCGAAACTCCCCTGTTTTTCCTCCGCCCTGAGATTTCACTCCACAACCAAGGCCTCGTCCTTAAGGCCAGGCATCTGTAGGCATAGTGTTTACTGTTCAAACACTTTTCTCTTTCAGTTTCTACGGATTGGTACGTAGGCTATAAACGGCATTAAAATGGATAACCCGTCCCTTACTAGTCGGGTCGGGTCTCTCTCACCTGTAACCAACTTAAGTCCCATGGTCACCTGTCCTATTCCTGTTTCAAATACCAAGCTAGTAGCTGTGTTTTTGAACAATATGGTTTCTAGGTCTAAGTTGGTTATTAGTTAGTCCAAAACAGTCATTATGGTATACCATCTTGAACCAGAAACAATACTGGTCATTCTGGCCTGGCGTCAAGCGAATTTTGGGGAAATGGTGTCTGTTCAGTCAGCTAACTAGATTGTATCAATTAATGACCATCTTAGACCATTTTCCAAAACACCACTACCATCTTAACCTGAATTTTCCTATACAATTTCAAGGCAATTTCGCAACGTTTCGGCGAACTGGTGGCTAATTTGTCTGAATTCGTACAACCTCATTTGTACATTTGTGTACAATCTGTTTACACCCTGTAACTTATGTTTAAGAGTGGAACTTCATGCTTACTTTTTTTTTCTTCTAAAAATCATGTTTTCATTCAATGATAGTAAATTCATATAAAATCGCCACCTCGTAGACGTTTTCTATAGTTGTGACCGGGTTGGATTTACCAACAGAAATATTGTCTAATACTAAAAAAATAAAACAAGAAAGATAATGTATCGGTGGACTAAAGGTAGAGTAGTCTTGGGTAGAGTAGTCCACTACTGTATATTAGTCTAGAGTAGTCTTGGGTAGAGTAGTCCACTACTGTATATTAAGACTGCATCTTAAGAACTAGTCTGACCAACTGGCAGTTAGTTAAGAACAAAAGCTAGATCTTTTTGTTGAAATCTGAGAGAATTCTGTCCTTTTAATGACAGCTACGCAACTGACACTTTGACTTTTCAAAAAGTTAATTTTTTTAAAGAGATCGTAAAACTAATCCATATATGAATTGAGTGTTTTAGTAAAAAAAATTCTGAAGAGTGAGACAAGATAAAACAACACCTGTTTTATGAAGTGCAGACAGGGCATCTTGTGTCTGATGTTACTGTAACCGGGTGACTGTTTGTGTTGATGTGGTTGTCTCCATATAGCTACCACGAAAGTTGCCAAAGCGCAAGGGTCGTTTTAAACGCTCAGATGGCAGCACCTCGTCTGACACCACCTCCAGCTTCATCAAACGACAGGTAGGACTCCGCTTAATCAATCAGAGCATCCATATTCATACAGATGCCAGCGTTTCTGTCATTATGTATTCATGTGGGGTTGTTTGAGTGGTCACTGTACTGTATGTGCATCACTGCTTCACAGAGGTCGTGACTAGGGGAAGTGACTTAATAGAGGCTGAAAATTTGACAACATGTCTTATTTTTACAACATTTGAATCTATTGTACATCTAATATCTTGTATAAAATAATCATAGCACATTTATATGGTATAATATATAATATAATGTATGTTTCATAACATGATAATAAAAAAAAGTTAAGGTGGAGAGATGATAAAGATGAAGATTCAAAAGGTTCCAAAACAAAAGTACAAACTGAAGTTATCCACAGATGAAGAACAGGTATCGGGACAGCATGTAAGACACTACAATACCGAACAACTGAAGTGAGCACAAAGAGAAACTTAAATACACAGTGATAATGAGACAATGACAAACAGACAGCTGTGATGATTAATGAGTGTTCATGGAAACTGATGACTGGCGGGAAACTAGGAACAAAGGAAACAGGAAACTAAGATTGAAACTAAATGCACTGTTCATGAGAGAACGCCCCCTCCCCGAAAGATTTAGCCTCGAGCTGTGATGGATAGCTCGAATGGAAGAAGGGTGGAGGTTCAGGTGGTGGACGAGGGACCGGCGAGGCGCTGGAAAGCCATAGGGTGGCAGATGGGAGGGACCAGGGCAGAGCAGATGGCAGAAAGAGCCATGTAGGAGCTGATGGGAAGAACCCTGGAGGAGTTGACGGTGGGAGGACCCATGAAGATGGTGGGAGGAGCCATGGAGGAGATGATGGTGGAAGGGCCCATGGATGGCTGATGAGATCCCAGGAGACATCCATGATGGAGGCAGCCCACAATGGCAGTGATGGAGGGAGGAGCCAGGGTGGTCCTTTGAGCCAGACAGACTGAGGTGACGCAGGGAGATAGTGAGGCCCAGGTGACGTCCGCCGAGAGGCCTGGTGACATCGACGGACTGGGAGACCAAGGCGGAGTCCTGGCGATGAGTGGCCGAGGTGGAACCAAGGGGCCGAAGGACTGAGACGACGCCGGTGTGAGTGAGGACCCCGGTGAAGCCTGAGGGATAGAGGAGCCCGACGGAGCCATAGGGGTGGAGGGATGGAGCACAATAGACAGCTCAGAAGACCATGGCAATGATGGAGCGTTGACTGACCAGGACGGAGCCAGTGGGACGAGGGAGCCCGGTGGAGCCAAAGGGACAACGGTCCCAGGTGGAGCCTATGGGGAAAGCAGCCAGGGTGGAGCTGATTGGTTGACGCGCCGAGGCGAAGCTCGGGACTCCTCATGCCAGGGCAGCGCTGGGAAAAGAAGATCCGTCGACCCATAGGGCGAAGTTGATGTACCCGGCCATCGTCCAGCATGAGCACAAATAAGAACTTAAAACGGTGATAATGAGACAATGACTAACAGCTGTGATGATTAATGAGTGTCCATGGAAACTGATGACTGGCTCCCGCCCAACTAGGAACAAAGGAAACAGGAAACTAACGATAACAAACTAAATGTCCATGAGAGTAAAACTAAACACACTGTTCGTGACAGTGTATGCTGTATTTGTATATGTGGTGTATTTCATCTTTAATAAAAGGTTATGAAAGGTTTTGCCAGGTCACATTATTTTAAAACTGTTAAATTTCCCTACTCAGTCAAACTATTACAAACTATTGCTATTTGCTTCGATAGACATTTAGAAAGAGTCTTTGTAAAAATATCTGGTTACACTTTAAATTTTAAGATGTCCTTGTTACAGTGTAATTATACATTTTAGTACTGAGTAATAATATAAAGTAATGTACTCACTATGGTTAGGAGGATTATGGTTTGTTTTAAGGTTATTTGCATGTAATTATGTATAATTTACTGTTATTAATACAATAAGTACATGTAACGTGTAACAAGGACACTTGTATTTGAATTTTCGGATGTGTCCTTGAATTCCCTTTTGATTTATTCAGTTTGACATGTCTTAACAGCTTGTGTTATGTGTAACAGCTGATTATAGCCATAGGTTTCATATATGCTGTAATTCGAGACGTGGCCACTAGATGGAGGCAGTTCCATTACTCTACTCTACTCACTCCAACTTCTTCATTTATTATTTAAGAGAATCTTTTGAAAACATCAAAAGGAAAAATAGGTTATGAGAAGCGCACTGAATTTCTCCATGGCACACTTCAACATCTATGTCAGCCTCCTTACATCAATTAATTTCCTCTGTAATGAGTGACCCAAATTCTTCGGTTTGTTCTGCTCACACCATATAAGCTCATTTGTCTTTATATTCAGCCTATCAAGAGTGACACCCTTAGATACCTACTCCAAATTCTTCTGTTCAGAAGTTTACAGACAAGGTTTAAATGGCATTAATGGGGACATTGACTATCCGGGCATCCATCTGCCATGCAGTAGAGAGTTTATGTGTGTGTGGAAAGAAGAGGTGGCATATTGAGCGGGTTGTTAATTTTCATGACCAGGAGGTCGTGGCAGTTTCAATTTTCTCTCAAAATATCACAGTTCTTAAAATAGTAAAATAGTCAAATATTAATGGAGCTCATTTGGAGTGGAGCCTTCTGGTGAATGTTAAATCCTCATGCTCTTTCTTTGTTCATAAAACTTGTGGCGTGATGCCGTACCTGAAAAAAGCATATGTGACGTACATCATTGAATCCTTACGTGCTTAAATCCTTAAATGAACCGTCTCTTATATGTGTTCTCGTGGCAGCTTCTAGGGGTGTTAAAGACAGTGGTGAATGTGCTGCATTTGATAAATGGATGCTTTACTTAAAGGCATAGTTGACCCAAATATGAACATTCTGTCATCATTTACTCTCCCTCAATTTGTTCCAAACCAGTATGAACTTTTATTCCTTCTGTTAAACACAAAAGAAGATATTTCGAAGAATGTCAGTAACCAAACAGTTGATGGGCCCCAGATAGTATTTTTTTTTCATACTATGGAAGTCAGTGGGGTCCATAAACTGTTTGGTTACCAACATTTTTCAAAATATCTTCTTTTGTGTTCCACAGAAGATTCCTATAGGTTTGAAACAAATCTTTTCTTTGACTCGGGTGGGGTTGTCTTGCTGGATTGTGACTCATCTCTGCAGGAGAAACAGTGGCATTTACCTGCTGCTGTTGAGAGGATCTATTTCAAGACCCAATCCCATACCATCTGCTTTCTTATTGTATGGAAACGTACCCTACATGAACCATCTCTTATATGTGGACTCGTGGCAGCTTTTAGGGGTGTTCATTTTTGCATGGAAATTAATATTGATTAAAAGCATATATAGCCTTAAAGATCTCTAAGCCTTACAATATACAACAGTGTCTCTCTCTCTCTCTGATTTCCTTGCATTTGATCATTTCTGTGCATTGTATCATTCCTCCTACTCTACTCGCTTCATCCACTCTGAGAAAACATATAAGATTCTTGATGCAGCAGACCTAACATGAAGAATATTTACCAGATTTTAGCTACATCTTACTTCTTGCATTAGCTATGGTATTATTTTTGGACAAATACCATGATAGTTAAATTGTATTTTTTGTAAATATGATGGTACTCGTTTTTTTACTGCAGCATACATCAAAGTACCATAGTATTACCATTTGATACCATTACTGTACCACCACAGTAGCTACTTTTCTGTGAAAGAGGACTCTTGATCTAAAGGCTTACATAACATGCACATCTATGCATCCTTCAGCCCCTCCCACTCCAGAGCACTTCAGGACACTCTAGGAAGAGAAGGCATTGAGTGCGATGCTGTGTAGTGATTATCTTTCTGACACCTTGCTAAACAGACATTGCATAACAAACTCTCAACCACTCTCAGGTACCCCAGTTTGGACACAGAGTGGAAATCAGTTTTTTTTTTTTTTGTGGTGCAGGTAAATACAGATAGTAGACACGTGCCGTTATATTTCTGCTGTTCCGTTTTAATGTGTGAATACAAAATATGAACTAGGTGTAGATTATTATCTGATTGGTTGGAACTATAATAGCACACTTCTCCAATACTACCTTCTCAATTTGAAAGTCCGCTCCAGCCCATGAGCCCAGCCCATAATCCTCACCAGCCCACGAGCCCAGCCCAGAGTCCTCTACAGCCCACGAGCCCAGCCCAGAGTCCTCTCCAGCCCCAGAGATCTCTCCAGCCCCTGAGTCCTCTCCAGCCCCTGAGTCCTCTCCAGCCCCGGAGTCCTCTCCAGCCCCGGAGTCCACTCCAGCCCCGGAGTCCTCTCCAGCCCCTGAGTCCTCTCCAGCCCCTGAGTCCTCTCCAGCCCCGGAGTCCTCTCCAGCCCCGGAGTCCTCTCCAGCCCCGGAGTCCTCTCCAGCCCCGGAGTCCACTCCAGCCCCGGAGTCCACTCCAGCCCCGGAGTCCTCTCCAGCCCCGGAGTCCTCTCCAGCCCACGATACCCCCCCAGAGTCCTCTCCAGCCCACGATGCCCCCCCAGAGTCCTCTCCAGCCCACGAGCCCAGCCCAGAGTCCTCTCCCCAGAGTCCTCTCCAGCCCACGAGCACAGCCCAGAGTCCTCAGCCCAGAGTCCTCTCCAGCCCACGAGCACAGCCCAGAGTCCTCAGCCCAGAGTCCTCTCTAGCCCACGATGCCAGCGCAGAGTCCTCTCCAGCCCACGAGCCCAGCCCAGAGTCCTCAGCCCAGAGTCCTCTCCAGCCCACGATGCTAGCCCAGAGTCCTCAGCCCAGAGTCCTCTCCAGCCCACGATGCCAGCCCAGAGTCCTCTCCAGCCCACGAGCCCAGCCCAGAGTCCTCAGCCCAGAGTCCTCTCCAGCCCACGAGCCCAGCCCAGAGTCCTCTCCAGCCCCGGAGTCCTCTCCAGCCCCGGAGTCCACTCCAGCCCCGGAGTCCTCTCCAGCCCCGGAGTCCTCTCCAGCCCACGATGCCCCCCCAGAGTCCTCTCCAGCCCACGATG